TTTTCAAAACGCCGCCCGCACTTATAAGCTGCCCCAAACGGGCCCTTATTATTATAAAGTTATATTTTTATTAGACGTTTGTATGTGTATGATTGACAATAATTGAGTCATCTCTTGATGGTACTAGTAGGGGAATACCAAGATACTTATAACGGTTTTGTAGAGGGGGACAAGTAACGAGAAAAAGAAAGGAATACAGAGGAAGAAATGAATAGAGATGGAAGAGGAAACGATGAATTAAGGGAGAGGAAACAAACAACTGAAAAACAAATGAAACGCGGGGGAGGGGGAACGAGATCGGGAAGATGTAATGTTGCCTATATAAGTCGCATACCAACTTACCTTAGAACAATGCAGAAGAAGGATTCGAGTTGGCGTAAGTGCTTAGTCGTCGCCGAGGAAGCTCGAGTGAGAAGGCAACGACGTGGATTGAGACAGTGTGAGGTGTGTGAGATGATCCGACTTCTCATGTGGGTTTTGGCGAAGGAGGAAATTCCTTGCTTTTGATCGTGCCCTAGCCCAGTTGAAGAGGAAGATGAAGGAGAAGAGTTGATCGTGCCTTAACCGAGTGACGAAGAAGAATAGAAATTGTGTCAAAGTATTCAAACCGAGTCTCTCGTGCAGGGGAAGAAACCACTGTCGGGATTTCGTGCGGAGGAGGAAGAAGAAGATTTAGGGAGGCATGATATATTAAATTGATTTAATAATTATAAAATAATAATAATAATAATAATAATAATAATAATATAATATACATTGAATAGAAAAATAAGTATAATAAAAATTAATACTTAAATAATAATAAAAAGTTGATGATTACTTGAAATAGTTAATAAATTAAATTTTATATCATTTTTATGTTAGATTTATATTTTAAAAGAGCGTGTCAGGGCAAAAGTTTGTTGAATTAAGCCTCATCGAGGTGATTATTTGTATTTTTAAACAATAGTAATAATTTTTTTATGTCCATATGTGTTTGTAGTTGATGATATTGTGTGTTCTTTATTTTGATTAAAATATTATTTTCTTTATTGGCCATATCCTTGTAGATGTTGTAGCTATTTACTCATGATTTTGGTGTGTGTTTTATATAATATGATGAATTGAATGTGATAAATACATATGTTTATGATAATTGCTTGTATGTGCATGACTGACTATGATGAAGTATCTCTTGGTGGTACTAATGGTGGATTACTATTGTACTCATGCATGTAAATGAAAATGATATTGATGTGTCTTAAATAACACAATTTTTAGACGATGTCTCTTGTGACGGTTGTATGAATATGAAATGATATTGATTTGATAATAATATAGACTTATTTGAATAACATGTTTATATTAATTTATAAAAAAGCTTAGCTAACATGCATATTGTTCTTTCTTTTCCTTGTATTGTTGTAGTTTAAAGGTATAAGCATTCACTGGCTCTTTTAACTCAAAGTTATTTTAACTAACTTTTCAGGTTTAATTAAATTATTAAAAAATGAGTGATTGACGAGAAAATATTTATAGAAAACAAAGACAACTATTAACGAGATAATTTTTAATTGTACCACTTTAATTTAATTTCTAGTAGCTCTTCCATCTGTTATATTGTAGACGAATATAGAAAATTTAATTCACAGTTTCGGACCGTCTGTTTCCTCATTGGTTAATTCTAAGTCTCGGGTTGGGTCATGATAGTACTCGTGAACGTAAATAGAAAAATATATTGATATTGAAGTGTCTTAAGTGGGACAATTTTAGATGGTGTTCCTGTGACGATTGTACAGACACAAAATGATATTGGTATGCTAATGATATTATAAGATTCATTGAATAACATGTTAAATGCTTATATTGATTTTTTAAAAAGTTTAACTTGCATGCAAATTGTTTTTTTAACATTATTTTACTGTAGCTTAGGAGTATGAGTATTCACTGGCTTGTTTAGCTCACTGTTATTTTTAAACTAACTTTTCAGGTTTAATTTCAGTGATTAAACATATATGATAGAAGAGATAATATTTATAAAAAATGTGGACAACTAATTACGAGATAAACTTAATTTTACTGCTTTAATTTAAATTAATTAATGGTATATTCATTTGTTAAATGAATATAGAAAATTTAATTCTCACCATTCGACCGTTTTTTCCAACCTTGATTAATTCTAAGCCCTGGGCCAGGTCATGACAGATATTTTATCAATAATAGGTCTACATGGTTACGTGTAATGGTGGGAACATTTTGAATGTTTCTTCGGATGATATTTTAATGAAGGTCTTTGTACGAACATATAACTTTTGTGGGGCACAATTGAGACTAAGTAATTGAAGCCTCGGATGTATAGCCTTTCCAATTTACCAGGGTACTCCAAATTACAGATTTACTGTGTGGCTTCCGAAATAACCACAATCTGCAGATAACATGGACTGAAGTTCATAAGCTACTGTCATCCTTGGTAAAGTAAAAGACATTCCAAGATAACATTGAAAAGGCAAAGTTTTATATAGTATATATTTGTTTGGGACATGCTTTTTGCAAGGAGTTCTAATTTTCTATTAAAGAAGTGCTTTTTTCTATTAAATAAGTGTTGTGCATGGCTGCAAGTATCATCGTCGTCAGTGCACCAAACTTGTGGAAGGACATGAACCAATCTGGCTTTTATTTCTATGAGAAACTTGCTGTTGAGCTTCTTTCTGAGCAGGAAAAATCATCTTCTCAGGAGTAACTTTATAGGATGCTCTTGAATTCCTAAAAATGCATTGTTTCTTAACTGTAGCGGTTCTCGAAAATCACTGGTACTAATGGAAATACTGTCGTTGTGATATTCAATTTGTGAAAGTAATTTCGTTCCATCTATCACAAACATGTTCTGGTTCTGTTGCTTTTAAGTTTTTAATAGCTGTCTTTTCTATTCACCGGCATCTCTTCGTATTTGTAATAGTTGCAGTTTATTATGCTTCGTTTGTTTTGCATTAAGTTCTGTACCTCTATAAACATTAACTGACACAATCAGGTCATGATAATCAGATCCCTCCCAGATCTAACCCTTTTAAAGGAGACGACAGTGAGAGGTTTTACAAATTCAGCAATGAAATCATGGCCAAGTTCAAGTGGTGTCATCTGTTGCTCATCTGAAGGAGAACTTCTCATGGTAAAATAAATTAATTTGTCATTACTTTTTGGCTGAAATGAGCTGGTGCTAACTTATGGAAAAAAATGACTTAGGCCAATGGAGATCAAGAGATTTTCTTCTTATCAATTTTTCCGCAGAAGACTGTCAACAGGTAATTTAAGATTAAATCCTAAAATAGTCCCCACCTATTCATGTGTTGCCAATTTAATTCCATAAAAAATTTTCCCTCAACTATATAAAATTGATCCAAAATTGTCTCTAATATAGAAATTGTGCTACAAAATTGATCCCATTTTAGTCTTCCAACCATACAAATTTGATCCCAATTTAGCCTGTGAGGACCATTTTGTATTAATTTTGTGTAGTTGAGGGATTGGATTAGATAATTACGATATTTTAGGAGTAAATTGGTCACATATGAATAGCCAAAAGACTAATTTGGATTTTAATCTGTTTAATTGTTAAAGCCTAGAGCATGAATTATGTTATTCATGTACAGGAAAGTTCTCATGTCAAAATCCTTACAACACCTTAATCCGTAGAATCTCATTGTGGCATCATCCATATATAATGTTATATCAAATCAAATCGTTGATGTGAATACTCTAAATTCATTTCTCTGTCTGCATCCATGGTTTTACTTTGATGAGAATTTTTAGACATTTGTGTACACCTTACTTTCCTGCTTCCTGTCTGTATAATCACTGATTGAAATGTTTCATCCTGTAATTTTTTGATGTGTTTTCATTTATATCTGCTTAATTTGTAATTTCTAATCCGCCAGGAGCCTGGAGTCTATCAGTAGGGTTTACAAGAGGGGCATTATCATGCAGCAAGAAAGTTTTCCCAGTCAGAGTGCCCTCAAGGAGAAGAAAAATAAGGTACTATTTTTACCTTGTTGATACCACGCTTTTAAACATACTTAACCACTTCTTAAAAAAGGTAATCTTTTTATTTCAGGGTCTATTCGGCATGGTTGCAAAAGGTAGCAAGTCAAAGAATAAGGAAGAAACTGTTCCCGAAATTCCTTGCTCAAATAATGTTGAAGAACTATCAACCATATTTTCAACGGCCAATTTTCAATCTACCGATGAAATCATGAATACCTTGGCCAAAAATGAAGAAAACGCTGAGTTGGATATAAGTAATGTCCACTGAGCCTCTGACCACCACCTACTTTTCTTAAGCAGAGTGATTCACTTTCTGCCAAATTCATCTTTATTTTGTAGATGATATTGATCTTGATGACACTAAAGACAAACCCAAAGGGATGAATTTTCCTGCTCTAAATAAACAGAACCTAGGCAAGAAATTTCTGGAAATCAAAGGTTAGCATGATCATTTTGTCTTTTTCCGATAGGGCGTAATGGAAAATTATTTGCTTCTGGAATTCATAGCTCATTCTTTCTGAACCATTTTTCCTGTTATTATTTGTCTTTTAGTTTCTGTGTAGCAACATAATATTACTCCAGGCATTCTCATGATATCATTAGGCGTCTAAAATCTAGAACATTATCATGTGGATTATTTTTTTTTATTACAGGGATATTGAAGCCCAAGTCGGAGGAGAAGTTGGATACTGGAAAAGGGAAGAATGAAGATGAGAAGTCGCCTGGAACAGTCGATCAGATTAAGAAGAAATACGGATATTCAACAGGCACCGTAAGCTACTGATGTCCCTGTACTATTTTTTGGATCTTCAATTCATCCATCTTTCAACTTTTAAGGAAACAGTAGCAGTATTAAATTATATTAACCATCTGCTATGCTTATTCAATGGTAGCATGTCAGTTAAATTGCCATTTTTTTATAATGGCAATGCAATGTAATGAACGCCTATTTTCTATCATCAATTTTCTTAGTACTTTTTCTTCTTGCGTCCATAATGATGGTAGTAACATTTCAACTAAAAAAATAAATGAAGGCGAGACATAAATATAGTAGAGATCATAAATACAAGAAACACAGATTACTTGATTCAGTGAGATTTACTTTCATTCACGGTTGTAATAAGTTCAAATAACTTCATTAAGCTTCGAAAAAGGTAAAATAATATTATAATATGTATAAAGTTAGAGATGAAGATATCATAATTATTAGCCTAATTAATGTCGCAGTTATTATTAGGCTTTACTTACTTTCTTTATTTTCGTCTGTTTCCATATTTATGTATTTCTAAATTTAGGTTTTTCCTTTTATGTGGGTCTTGTAATGTGTATTTATACACCTCTTTCCTATCAATGAAAGCTTGTAGCTCTAGACTCAAATTTAACATGGTTTTATTGATAGGAAAGTGGTATAAACATACATTATAAAACCCACATAAAAGAAAATATCTAAATTTAGAAATATATAAATATAAAAAATGGATGAAAATAAAGAAAGCAATTAAAGGCTAATAATAATTGCAGCATTAATTAGGCTAATAATTTTATTACTTCCCCTCAAGTTGAAGTATAAATGTTCATCATGTTCAACTTGGATTTGAAGTAGTCAAACAATAGCCGGAAAGTTTTTTGGTGAGGATATCTGTTAATTGACCAATGAATTGAAAAAATGGAATACAAATCTTCGCTGAATCAAGTTTTTCATTAATGAAGTACCGGTCAATCTCTACATCTTTGGTGCGCTCATGCTGGACTGGATTATGGGCGATGTTAAGGACAATTTTATTGTCACATAATAAATTGTGAGCAGAGACTAGTAGATGTAATTCACAAAGCATGATGCGCAACCAGATAACTTCACATATACCCAAAGACATGGAGCAAAACTCGTTTTTGCACTGCTCACGTGACAAAATTTTCCACACAAATGAGCAATATCCTAAGGTTGATCGTCGATCATAGACGGACCCGACCCAATCTGCATCCGTATAAACAATAATAGAATGAGATATGTACAACAACAACAAGTCTTTATCCCACTAAGACGAATCATTTCTCCATCGCGTCCTATTGAGTATTGCATTTTCATTTAATTCTAATAGATTAAGATCATTTTTTATACAATATGTCTGTCTTTTTAGGTCTACGTCTGTCTTTCTTAACATCAGTCGAATCTAAAACATCTACTCTCCTAACTAGATCATCAGATGGTCGGCGTTTAATGTAACCAAACCATCTAAGACAACTATCTCTAATCTTGTCCACCACTGGAGCTACACCAACCGTATCACTGATATATAATAGAATGAGAGGTGTGACGCGAAAAAAATTAACCTGAGCTCGGCTTGACTTTTAAGTCTCTGAGATGATGCTCATAGGGATCATGCATGAATTAACTCACAATATGTACTGTGGCAAATGCCCGGGCGAGTATGAGTGAGATAAATGAATTTCCCCACCAGACGTTGGTAGTGAGTCTTATTCATCTGAATAATATTGGAATCATCAACTAATTTCTCATTAGGATCCATTGGAATTGCCACTGGCTTGCATAAGAGTAGGTTATTATCTGTCAATAGATCAAAAGCACATATTTACGTTGAGACAGACAAATGCCTCGAGATGATCGATCAACTTACATGCCTGAGAAGTACCAGAGAGAACTCACTACTCCAACCATCGAATCTGTCACTACAAGAAGACAATATACTTTATTAAGAAATAAGTTTTTAGTTGCCTTTAACCCAAATATAACTAGCCTCACATGTGTCGCATGTGCATATCACCATAAAAGACTATCCAGAATAGCCTAAAAACTTATTGATCCGAAAAGAATAGAGGTATTTGGTTGCCTTCATTGTGCATCTACACAAAAAAAGCCATCCAGAAACCCTCATAAATTGATGCACTGAGAAGAAGAAAGCTACTCAGTTGACTTCATTGGGATTTCACATGTAACATTAGCCAACAATGAGCAATAGGTCATCCAGAAGAACCCATAAGGTCATAAGTCTCATCATATACCTCAAAAGCCCACAAGAAATAAAAAACATATAAAACTCAAACATAAAATAAGAAAAAACAATCACATTAAAGTTTCAAATATAAAAATATTTTCAATACAATTGAGATACAGTAAACATTAAACTCTTAAATTAACAAGGCAGATCCATACAAGATTAGAAAATGTCATTTGCTATCTGCTTTCTCAATGCTGACATATCCGATGCACATTTACCGTCTCGTGTGTGATCATCCTGTGATTCTATTTGTAGTTGTGGCATGAACTGTCCCACATGGAATTCAAATATTTCTAGCGGGAGTTGGAGCTGATCATCCTCTGCGAGGGTGAAGTCTACATCCAATCTAGAGCGGTGTCGTCGAATGTAATTGTGTAGTGTCATAGTAATCGCTACTATCTGCACTTGCTTCGGACATGGGTAAATCTGCATATCACGTAATATCACTCACTTATTCTTCCACACTCTGAATGATCTTTTGATTGCGCCGTGTAAGGAGTGCCTCTTGTTAAACATTTCCTTCTTGCTGCGTGCAATCCCGATGTATCTTTCAAAATTGGAAATGTGGTACTTCGTATCAGGGTATTGCTCTGGGTGCAAAACCAATTTATGAAGCCTTTGTTATGCTCTCTCTTACGTTGGAGTGTGCATAATGGAGTGTGCATTTTATGCACTAACATTGGTTGCAAAACAAATTGTGGTGGCATTGCTGGATGGTCTGATTCTTGGACATTGGTGATCTCCTATCTTCACACATTCACATTTCAACATTCTTAAGCATGCTTTTTCAAGTTTGGTGTTGACTCTTGAGAAAAAAATAAAAATTTTTGAGTGATCCGCGGTCTTTGATGTATATCCCTACTGTGAAAGTACCTTTGTGGTGCTTTGGTTGCTTACATTGCTGCTACGTGTATTTGTAAAAATAATGGTGATGCCCTCAGTTTGCTTACCTTCCTCTTGCTGCTTCTAAAGTTGAAAGTTTATAACCTTTTCCCGCTATTACTTGAGGCACTAACTTATGGATTTCTATTTTGAAACCATCTCAATCCTTTTTTTGCTTGGCGATTAAACTACTAGTTACGTCCTCTTAATGATTTTTTGAAGCTTAAAGGGATACACAATGTTTATTTTCATTTATGTTGTTGAAATGAGATGGCATATGTGCACCATCTACTTTGTCAATTGTTCATTTTCTGTGGAGAAATAGGGGCTGCTATCTCTGTTGCTGATGTGGCCAATTTGTACCATCGATTTTGTCAAAAAAATATTGGATTTTGATGATGTGACCAATATTCATGCTTATGTGCTATGAGATTGCTAGTGGTACAGTTTTTGGATAAATGTGGAAGTTTAGCTTTCTGTTTTTTGTCATTAGAATTACTTCATTCAGTTCTTTTATTTACCTATCTTATATTTGTTCTAATCTTTTTAAATCTATGATAATGGTTTTAACTATGAGTTTACTGCTTCAGTTTACTCCTTATATTGGTTCGTTCATTTTTTAAGTAACGCAATGAGTAAGAATAAGAAGGTCGGATCATTGGCCATGTGGGATAGGGAGGATTTCCCCTCTTCATCAGGAGACATGCACCAACAATTATAATCTTTACATTGGATTACATCTCTAATTTTGAAAGACGATGGATTTTCTTATAATTTAAGATTAAAATTATTCAACAAAGTTAGATCCTATTGATTTATCTCCTCAGATATCCACATAAAATCTGCAAGCCTCTTGAATGCTACGTTTAATCTTTCAATTGTGTGTGGAATCTCATTCAAAGCTAAAATGCCAATCGCCTTCTACGCCAAGAGCCAATTTGTTTCATGCTTTCATTGTACATTCTTACCTTTTCATCTCCCATCTCAAATGTGGAATTACCTAGTTGCGATGATAATTATTTAAGCTACATTTTTCATTTTACCTTTTTCTAAGGTGGAAATTGACCTGACGTTATTTTTTGCTCTTGCATTCAAATGTTGTATTGAAAAACCCAAATTATCTCACATTTTTTGTATCTTTATAAAATTATTCCATTCTGATGCAGGAACTTGGCGTTCCCGCAATAGCCAAGGACAGACTGAAAGACAACTCCAGGAAGTTGCAGGTATTCAAATAAGCCCAATAATTTCCTTAAACTTCTAATCATACTTATATCATAATATTGCAAGAAGAGTTTTTCCCTAATATCACAATTCACACACTTATATAAGATCTGTTTCACTGGCCATATATATAAGCTCGTGAAATCTTAGAAATGCTGCACATAAAATTGAGATTTTATAAAAATTAAAATTCTCGTTTAACTAAAAGAAAACTATATAATTGAAAAGATTTGTGACAAAATGAATGCTTGATCTCACCTGCCACTATTTTGGCGCACCTCGTCTATTGGCAGGATACCGGAGCTCGTTCATCTGAGATGAACGATACTGCTCGGTCCTTCTCTTCTATGGCAAAAGAGTTGTTGCGAGTTTCTCAGAAATAAGAGCTTTGCTATCTATTTTAAATGACTGTGATTCAATTCCTTTTGATTTTGACTTGGATCAAATCCTAATCGTCCAAAATAGATCCAACGGCTGGCAGGCAGCAAGTACATGCCTAGAATTACTTCTGAGGCTAGTTATAAGATTATGATTTCTTGATTTTTATTTTTTTTATTTTGTTTGTTTGTTTGTTTGTGTATAATTCTTTGTTATAGTTCCCATGTCACATAGATGTATGTTTTATGATTCAAGTGGTCCTCCTTTCACCTGTGGAAATAGAAGTGAAAACTGCATGGCTTTCTGTTTAGTATTTTATTGTTAATTAATGAATCTATGGGCCTCTTTTAGGTTGGCTGATCAACATTTCTGAGTGTTAGAACCAGTGGAATTTGGCAGCATAAGCATAAGGCGTTAATCAGTTGCGGACTAAATTGAAATTTCTCTGAATTTATCTGATTTTATTGTGTTTTTGGATTTTTTTTTTTTAGAAAGTTACATATTATATTAATAATTAGTTAACGATCTATTTGGGTTAATATTAATCCATTTTACTTGATTAAATGTCGCCCGCATTTATATGGAAGGTTTACATGCTTACGACTCAATTTTTAGTTGAAAGATAATCTTTTTAACTAATAGGCCTGGCTTGTATTAATGTGGCATTTCACTTCTGAAAAAAAAGGTGATTATGATATGTTGATGTGTGGTTATATATTTGAGTGGTATGTATATAAATATGAAAGTGTAGGTGTTATAAATGTATGAAAACAAGAATTGTGCTATGTAAATGAGCCATTAAAATAATTATAAACTTATAGATTTTAATAATTTATATAATCCTTTTTTTATTATTAATGTATGTGAAATAGGCCAAATCAAATTAGATCAACGTATTTCTATAAGATATTTAAACTATTGAATTGTTTAATTCCAATCTTTTATTTATTTATTTATTTGGTCAAATTAAAAAAACTTGTTTACCACTAGCTATTGAATTGTGAGTGTCAATTAGTTCGTTAGATGAAAATTTTCAAAATTACCATTGAGATCTTTATTTTGAACACTAATTAAACATTAATAAATCTCATATTGTTGATTTTAGCCAAAAAATGTCCTTATTATTGACAATCCAAGATTTTTTTCCCCTTAACTTTTGATCGAAAATCTAAAATAATATGATTTCGAACTTAGGCCTTACTAAAATTTTCTAGCCTTAAAAAAAAAAAAAAAGAAAGAAGAGATAATTACATAAAGGTCGCCTGAAACATTGCTATTTACAAACCAAGCAACCAAGCGATTTTTCTTGGAACTGCCCACCCGATGTATTTATGCATGCGAAGATCAAACTACTGAGAATTTTGATGTTTTTAAAACAGTTTTAAAGTTATTTCATAAAACTAATCACATGCTGCTTCTAATCCTATGAATAAAAAAGAGGGCAATTTTGTGTAATCCGAACGTGAAACGGTTCATGACAGGCGCGGAGGATAACAGAAACTACTGCTTGCTGTAAACTGTCGAATGTGCAGCTTTGTTTTCTTATGCGATTCGCTGCCACACCTATCAACCTACATCTGGTTGGATCTCGAATTGTTTACCAACAGAGGTTGTCATTAATAATTTTTTATCATCTAACGCGGAACTTGAAGCACTTTTAAGCAAAAAAAAAATATTTCATATTTAAATTCAAGAGCACTCATGCCCCATATTTTAGCAAGGTTATAATCAAACTAATCGTCTCAACAAGACAAACCTGATAATGCTGAAATGGTTCATTCTGAGTCTAATCATGCTCCGATTAACATTAAAGCATAACATGAGATTTTGGATTATCAATGAAATAGTCAAATGAACTATAAATTTGACATATTTATATTCAAGTTGAGCGAGTCGATGAGAGCAACCCAACGAGTCTAAGTTGTTTTAATTTCAAGGCCCATAAAGTCGTCAAATCATTAACAAAAATCCTATAACTAAGGGTGGGTTGATATGGGTTGTCAGGTCAGATGATTGGGAAAGTTATTCATCGAATAACCAAAATGTCATTCCCTTGGAACCTATAAATAGACACTCTCTCTTTTCACTTGAGTGGAGGGAGGAGATCGAAGAGAATGAATTCCAGAGCACGTTTTGGATTGAAGACTCAGTGATAACTTTCAACTTCTATAGCTACTGACTACCATAAAGCACCGCATGTTGCCAACATCGGCCACTGTCTACCGCCCTTGCTCGTCGCCATCGACAACCCCTAGCTAATTTTGTATCCCAAACACAATCATAATTTATAACTTATATGTTGATAACTTTCAGCCTTTATAGTTATCGACCCTCATTGACCATTGTCAATCGACAATCATCGGCAACTGCTAGTTGCATATGCTCAACATTGTCAGTGACACCTAATTGTTAACTTCATAACACAAATACGGTTGTAACGTATAACATTGTATTGAAGATCCGGTGATAACTTTCAGTCTTTGTAGCAACCGATCATCATTCATCGGTAGTCATCAGTCACTATCGGTCCCCCCTGCTCACTGTCATCGGTCACCCTACTTGTTAATGTCATATTCCAAATAAGGTTGTTGTTCCATTCACATGTATCTTTCATTATATTGTATATCGGTAAATGCAGTGTGTGATGTAATTTTGTAGCCCTGTTCTGAGAGAAGGGGTCCAACCATCGATACAACTGTTATAGCCAACTAATGACATTTCAGTCAACAAATACGACTACGTAGCCATCCGACATTACTGCAGCCACTAAATATGACCTATATGGTCAACTAATACTTTAAATTTCAATTACGACATCTATGGCCAATTGACATTATTGTAGTCACCAATTATAATATAAGTAGCTAAATGGCGATATTACAGTCACCAACTATAGTTTATGTGGCCAACTACTACAGTTTCAATTTTCATTTATAACTTTTGTTGCTAACTAACATTGCTGAAGTCACCAACTATGGCCTATATGGTCAGCTAATAATATTGCAATCATCAACTACGACTTAAATGACCAACTATTATTATAATTTTCAACGACAGTCTTTGTAGTCAATTAATGCTATTACAGTCACCAGTTACTGTCTATGTGGCCAACTGACGATATTGCAATCACCAATTATGAGTTTTATGACCTACTGCTACTATTATAGCATCCAACTACGATATATGTGGCCAATTGACATTATTTCAATCACCAACTATGGTCTCTATGACCAAATAACAATATTACAGCTTCCAACTACGGTCTTTGTGGCCAACTACTGCTTGTGCAACAACCAACTACGAGTTTTATGACCTACTACCATTGTTAGAGCTTCCAATTACATCGTATGTGGCTAACAATCGCTATTGTAGTCATCGACAACAACCTTCATGATAAACTATGTTTGTTGTAGCCTAATTGCGACTATTATAGTTAAACTACCATTATATATTTTGTAATATCAGGATTGTAATTCTATCTTCTCTAATTCATGAGAAAAGTAAACCTATATATTTACAGATGCATAGTAGATTATTTTAACTAGGTTAGACACTGTAATTTTTTGTTTTTCAAATGTTTTTCCACCTAAAAAATCTCTCTTCCTATTTTTTTATATTTTCTTTGTGTGTGATGGATCATCATGCAAAGCTAAGATGTTAAATAAACACTCTACCGCCTTGTATTTTTTTGCAAGCAGCTAGAACAAAGTGTTTAAGGTTGTAAGTGGGCCAAGCCGATTCGTGAGTAGGCATAGGCTCAATCTGATATATGTCTCGTGAACAAAGCTCGATGAAGTAACAAACAAAGCTCAAGCTAGCCCCAACTCGACTTGTTACCACATGAGTCGGCTCGTTAAAAAAAAAAATATATTAAATATATTCAAAATATAATAAATTATTGTTGATATTTAAAATAAACATTTTATATTTTATATAAAATAATTTCTTATTATCCATCTCCTAATTGCTCATTATTCTCTTATTTTATTACACCAATAGTTTAAATTAATATTATATATTCATTTACAATAAACAATGTCAGCTCATGAGCTGGCATAAACCCGAAAAATTAAGCTTGAATTCTAGCTTGTACTTTATCTACTAATCAAGCTTAACCACAGGTCGAGAGTGGCTCAAGCTCGACTTAACACTTCTACACCCCTATCAGTTATTACAAAAAAAATTTCTCCTCCTTAGTCTTCTGAGATGGTCTCCTCTATTTACAGATTTGAGTCGGCTCAAGGAAAGCTAGCCTGATTACTCATCTGTTTGATTTTACGCTCGAGGTAGGCCAAATTGGCAAAGTCAAGTTAACTTGTCAAGTCACTTTGCAAATTGATCAATCAGACTGTCCTGTTAAATTTGCTTGCTCTCCATCTAAGGACAATTTAGCTCTACATATCTCTCAGCAAGTAATAATTTATCTAGGAAGAAAATCTATGGCTTGCTTCATAGAAGTAAAATATTCTAACTTAAATGCATGATCTTAAACCGAAATGCTGAATAAAAGTCCATAATAAGATTATAAAGTAATATGCTGGTATTAGTGAGAGTATTATCTATGTATGAGTTTGAGAAGATGGTAATTTATATGTTGTTTCTATTTGATATTGCTTTCTTTTATGTCTCTGGTTAATTGCTTGTTTATAACTTGCGTCTGAACTTTAAATTTTATATTATCACCCAAATCTTTCCCCGACATGCAAAAAATGCCATTATTTTTATTTTAACAAATGATGTTAGAAATATATATATATATATATATATATATTATGAGTCGGGTTATTTGTCACGACATGACTACAGGGCATGCCGTTGTTTAGCAACGGTAATATTTTTTTAACAGTTTTTGTTATTATCAATGCAAGATATCGTCGGTTATAAAACTAATATTAATTCTGGACCATATTTCGTTGGTTATTTATAAACTCATTGTTTATCTCGATTTTTTTTAGCATCTCGGAGTCTCCAGCTTGCTTAATTATGTGCCGTCGTATAATTTCTTTATTTGAATAAATTTCCCTCCTGAATCACATCAATAATTGAAGAATGAGAAAAATTGAATAGAAATGATATACGACAGAAAAATAGACAAACAATAAAAAGAAAAGAGACAAAAGACTAATGTATGGGTAATTCTCATTTGATGGGTTGAGAATATACGTTCAAACAAGATCAGATCAAAATAACTCAAAAACATGACATCCACGAAGAGAATCCCTATATAAGCCGTCCATAATCAGAGAACCAAAAAGAACATTTTTGTTCTGGGGTCAAGAGCAGCCCCAAGGGAACGTATCCCACTTAGTTGATGTAAACGTATCCCACTTGGTTAATTACATTATAGTGGATATCGAAGGATAC